CTCCCTCTGACCCTCTTCCCTCTCGTGCTCTCTGTCTCTCATTCTCTCTCTCAAATAAATAAATAAAATCCTTAAAAAAATAAAATAAAATAAAATAATAATAATGTATAATTAACAAGTTAATAAGGAAAAAGTACTTGACTTATCCAAAAGAAGGCAAACAAGGAGAAATAAAGGAACAAAGAGTAAATGGAATAAGAAAACAAACTGCATTATGATAGGCTTAAATATATCAGTAATTACATTAAATGAAAATGTACTAAACACTAACTAAAAGACAAAGATTCTCAGACTGGATTTCTTAAAAAATCAATGTTTTAAGAGAGACATGGGATTTTGGGAGGCACAAGGAATCATGGAAGGCACACAGGGCCACTCAAGTGCCTTGCTGTGAGTACAGAGAATCAACAGCAGGCGTAGGGATTGTGAGAGGCACACAGGTGACAACCAACAAAGTGGTGTTTATAAGAGGCACCCTTTAAATAGAATCTTTAGAAACAAGAGGCTTTCAAAAAATGTGTATCGGACGCATCCTTGGACTTAATAAAAATGCAGTTTCCCGGGCCGCACCACCAGAGTCTGATTCATAAGGTCTGGGGTGGGGTCCCAGAAATAGCATTTGGGCTGATGGGCTCTGTCTGTTCTACACATCATACCCTCCGCTTTCTGCTTTTTCCATTACCAATTTAGCAGCAGGAGAAAAGAGGTAGCTGGCTCTTACCTCTCTGGTCTTACTCATAGATGAACAGCTCACAATCTTGTTCATTTCTGTATTAGTTTGACAAATATTTACTGAATGCCTACTACCTACAATGTTCCAAGCATAGGGAAAACAAAGGTAAACAAAATATAGTTCCTCTGCTTGTGGAGTTAATATTCTAACAGAGGAGAAAGACAGTAAACATCAGGTCATACAATGTCGGGTGGTGTTAAACACTATGACAAAAAAACAAGGTGATTTAGAGTGACAAGAGTGTTTGTTTTAGATAAGATGGTCAAAGTAAACCTCAATGAAGCAGTAATGTTTAAACAACAATCTAAAAGAGTAAACCATGCTGTTATCTAAGGGAAGAGAATTACAGAAGAGGGAGGAGCAAATGCAAAGGTTCAGAGACGGGAAAGAGCTTGGTTAAGTTGGAGGAACAGCAAGTTGACCAGTGTGATTGGAGCACGGAAAGGTAAAAACTTGGAGAAAATGAGGTCTGGGGTAGCCAAGAGCTGGATCATGCAGGGCCTTATAGACTGTGGAGAGGACACTGGATTTCATTCCAAGTAAAATGGGAAGCCAATGAGGGTTCCAGGCAAAGGGAACTGTTTCCTCTACTGGTCCACAGTCCTTCATTATTTTCTACCACCCTCTTCAAATCATCACTCACCATCATCTATTTATGCTGACCCTCAACATATATTACAACTTCCTATATCTGATACAATCACTAACTAGTGACATAGGTATGTCATTTTCCTCACTTGGCCTGTTTTTCCTCATCTGTAAAATGAGTGACTTGGACAGGATCACCCACAACTTTCTATCTGGCTTTATTATTTTATTAGCCTAGATCTGTGCGGCCCAATACACAGCTACTAGTCACATGTGGCTATTTAAATTTAAATCAATTAACATTAAAGATTCAGTTCCTCTGTCACACTACTATATCCAAGTGTTCCAGAGCCACAGGTAGCTAACGGCTACTATATTGGACAGTGCAGATACAGAACATTTCTATAATCAGGAGCGCCTGGGTGGCTCAGTCGGTTAAGCGTCTGCCTTCCACGCAGGTCATGGTCCCAGGGTCCTGGGATTGAGCCCCTCATCGGGCTCCCTGCTCAGTGGGAAGCCTGCTTCTCCCTCTGCCTGCCACTTCCCCTGCTTGCGTTCCTGCTCTTGCTATCTCTCTGTTAAATAAATAAATACAATCTTTAAAAAAAAAAATTTCTATAATCAGTCATCACAGGAAGTTCTACTGGACAGTGCTGCTCTAGTTGATTTCTGCTTCTGGTTCATCTTCCTCTTACAGCCATTCTCTATATTTTCATCCAGCATTTCAACCATTCATATGGCTTTATTTTTTACATTTAACCTATAGAATATATTTACCCTCAAAGTGTGAGGAAGAAATCTTTTTTTTTTTTTTTTTAAGATTTTATTTACTTGACAGAGACAGCGAGAGAGGGAACATAAGCAGGAGGAGTGGGAGAGGGAGAAGCAGGCTTCCCACCGAGCGGGGAGCCCGATGCAGGGCTCAATCCCAGGACCCTGGGATCATGACCTGAGCCAAAGGCAGACGCTTAACGACTGAGCCACCCAGGCACCCCGAGAAATCTTTTTCCTAATGAATAATCCATTCTGTCTCCACCGATTTAAAAGAACAGCACTTACATTATCACCTAATAAACAAACTAGTAGACATTACATTCCATGAAAACAAAGACAGTGTCTATTTTCATTTACTACAGTATTTCCAGCGTTTAGTATATAGTAAGTCTTTAATAATTCTGTGTTCAGTGAATGAATAAATATCTTCCATTCTTATTTATATTTGCATTTGTTTTTGGACATTATATATTGATCTTTTCATTTGTTTCTTCTGGCTCTCATTCCATACTACTTACTGTTTCATTACAGATGTATGCAGCCATTTTAAAATGTAGATTCAAGTACTATTCTCATTTTTTCAAAAAATGTCCTATTTTTCCATAAGTAATTCCACTAATCTTAACTGGATGACCTAGAATATCCTAGCTGTAGCACACTATTAACTCAGAATGTCCCTATAACAGGACCTTATTACTCCCATGGAACCTTATTCTTCAGAGCCCACTGACTGCCCTAGCTGATAACACTGAAAACCCAACACATACTACTCTTCAAAATCACCTTGAGCAAGATATCTTGTCATGTACTATGACTAAGATTGCCCAGTAGCCCTTGTCTTGCCTTCCTCTCAAACCTAGGTCTGTGAAAAAGCTCTAAGCTAGTGGTCACATCAGAATACACCTTGACCTCAATGAATCAAACTCCTTACATTGAAGGCTTTCATATGCCACCAAGGAGTGCATTTTTGCCTCCTGAGAGCTCCTAACAGAACACCTAACCTGTAGGAGTGCTAAGCTATTTCTTAAATGAAGATGAAAATGCTGGCTGAGAAAAAAAGGAAGCTCACTGGGACCTTTTACTGGATTGGGAGAACATGAGAACAAGGTTACTGAATGAATGGGGCTTTGTTAGCTGGGGAATTTCAGAAGAAAAGCAAGATGTTCCGATGAAACCTGAAAAAGCACCTCAGGGAGAAGCAATCTTTCCTTACCTTGGACATGGCTTTAAGAATTTAAGAATTTATGGCAGCTCCTCTGTCCTCCTACTTCACGCTCCTCACTGGAAGGGCAGTGTCTGGAATAATAGAGCTGGAGAGGGAGAAAGAAACCATAAATGGCACTATCAAGTAAGGATTATTTCCCCCCTTGACACATGAAAGCTGTGCATCAATGAAATTATTTAAATTATCCAAGGCTTTGTGGTAATAAGTGAGCCCAACTGGAATCCAGGTCTGACTTTTTAGTCTTCCCACCAGATAATGATGAGAGTATGTTACCGCCCTTACTACAAAATGAGATAAAGCTACAAATGCCCCAGAGAAAGCATCTTTACACAGAGGGGTCATGTGGTCTGGAGGACACTGGACCAAAGAGTCGGAACACTCTGCTTGTAGTCCTGACTTACAGCAAACTGCACCTGGAAACCAATCCCTTAACTTTTCTGTGCAATTTCCCCAAAAAGAGATGAAGGAGGGGACTATGCATTAACAGTCACCAAAACCCCTATTCATGAGTTATTTTCCACTAAACCTCTCTACCTTGGAGGGTAAAGGAATTATCTCAGAAGCAGCATAACAGTAAGAACCACCAGGTCTGGGGATCAGAACACCTGCCCTCAGACACCCAGTCTACCACTCACTAGCTCTGCAACTTCCATGCCTTAAGTAACCACTCCAAACCTCAGTTTCCTCATCAGTGAAATGGTACCTACTTCCTATCAGTTGTTGGGAGCATCCTGAGATGATGCACATGAAGCATTTAGCATAGTGCTTGGCACATCCTTTGTGCTCAGTAACTGTCAGTCATGTGTGTTCATAAATAGCACACAGTAGGTCTCCCCTACTGTGTGCTCTTAGCAGAGCCTAGGCGAGGAAGGGAAAGACTTCCTTCTGTGCCAGAGAGCCTCCTCTGCTGGCCTCCAGACCTGGAGCGGGGCTCCTCTCTCCTTCCCTCTCTTCTTTCTCCTCAAGTGTTCCCCTTCATCTCAGTCCCTCTCAGGCTCTCCTGCCCGACGCAGTCTCCCAAAACCTGGAGCACACGGGCCTCCCCAAGCACCCACCCCGCCACCCGCCCACCGCAGAAGCCACACAGTCCTCGCGCTGGCAGCTCTCCTGGCAGCCTGGCCCCCGTGCCCTCACAGTGGGTCGCCCTGTCACGCCAACATAAGGTCACACAACCTCACGCTGTCTCACAGGACCGGCCACACAGCCGCACACTCACCGTCACTGTCATGGTCACAGACGTTCGCACAGTCACACACAGGGGCACGCACGCGGTGACATGGTGTCACACGGTGACACGGTCTCCCACTGTCACAGGCCCCCTCGCACGCCCGCTCCAGCCCCGCAAGCCTGCCGAGGCGCGCGCGCGCCCGCCCCCGGCGTCCTCACCGCCTCCTCCCCGCGGGTCGGCACCTCCCTCCGCGCCGTCGGCCGCCGGGAGCCGAGCGCCCCGCGGGCCGGGGCGGGGCCTCGCTCTCGGCCGGACCCGCGGGCTCACAAAGGGGCCGCGGCGCTCGGGCGGGCAGCGGAGCCGGCCGCACGGGCCGCTGGGAAATGGAGTCCGGGCCGGGCGCGGCGCGGGGCATCCTGGGACTGCCCTCCGCGGGCGCCGGCCCAGTGATTCCCGCTCCTGTCCCCGGTCGCGTGACGCGCTCTCCAAGCCCCGGACCTCCCAACCCAGAACCACGACCGGATCAGCCCCGTCAGTCCGGCCGTTCCCGCCCAGGCCTGGACGGGCCGTTTCGGAGTGCGCAGGCGCAGCGAGCCCGGTACGCGAAAGCACTGTGTCGGGCGGGGCCGAGTGCGCACGCGTCGTGGGCGGGGCCGCGCGCCAGCGCCGCTGGTTGGGCTGCGGGAAGGGAGCTGGCGGTCCGGGGCCTGGCGGCCCGGCGCGCGGCGGGGGCTCCGGAGGGGGTGTGTGGGGGTCCAGAGCCCCGCTCGCCCGGGTTTCATTCCTTTCGTTCCTTTTCTTCTTTCGTTCTTTCCTCTGTCTCGTTAGCTATTTATTGAGCGCCGACTGTGTGCCAGGCACTGTTTTAGGCGCTGGGGACACACCTGAGCCTGCAGAGAAGAATCCCCACCCTCCTGTGGCTGACATTCTAATGAGGGAGAAATTCAATAGAAAAGGAAAAAAACTCGGTAGAAAAGATACATACCGGGAAATGATATGTGTTATTAAAAAAAAAAACAAAAACCACAGCCGTTCATAGATCATTCTTTCCGTTCTACCTACCCTCTTGTTCCTATACTTAAACCTATGTCTTTGAAAGTATTTCATTAACTCCTATTCATGTCTCAACCATTCCCACATCGGGTTATGCCCTTCTCTGCTTCCACTGCAGCTCGTCTCAGCAGAGTCACCGATGACAAAAAGCATATGAGATGGGAATTTTTATATTAAGGAAATTTTAAAAATACAAATACATTCTCAAAAGATTAACTGAAACGTTAATAGCAATAAAACGTTGAATACAAACAATATGGCTACAAGTAGTATGATTAACGGTACATCTATCGGCTTGAAAACTATACAACTTAATGAAAATTGTGTGATGATGAAGCAATATCTCAAAATACTTTTGGGTTATGTTTTATTTTAAAGGAGGAACAAGGCTGTTGGAATTGCACTAAGACGGCTATATTGGAAAACCGGTCCCGTGCAAAAAGTAAAAGCAACACAGTCAACGAAAATTGTGGTTGGTTTTGTGTTTGAGTATTGAAATTATGATTTATCTTACCCCTTGCTTTTTCAGACCATACAGACAAACCTTATGTAAGTTAAAATATATCAGTAAACTTCCAGTTTTTTGCAGCCTTTTGCACATTTCACAAATGTATAGAGACTGGGTATCTTTAGCCTGAAAATTTGTGGTAACATTTTTCATTTCAGCCATTATCTCTTAAGTTTCTTTTGTTGGCAGAACCCTCTATGAAGCTTGGCAGTAGTCACTAAGTGAGTCAAATTTACTTTGATATGTATAAGAAATACATTTTTCAATTTTAAATTGGTAATCAACAGATGTCTGCCCAGCATCTAAGTTTAATGTCATAATCTAATTACATAATCTTCAGAAGTAGAAATATAGAATCCTCAGAGACAGAAGGACCCATTTATTTATTTTGCCTTCAGTTGTCACAATGAAGACACAATACATTTATTTTTTCATTGGTTAGTACTGGAGCAAATTTAAATCTGTAGTCTATTTTAATTTTTTAAGAAGCAGGAGGTTAAAGTTCTCTCTCTTATTTTGTTTTTATTTTTTGGCTATGGATGTCTAATGATGGTTCCAGCACTATTTGTTTGAAAGGCTATCCTTCCTCCATTAAATTGCTTTTGTACCTTTGTCAAAAATCAGTTCAGGGGCGCCCGGATGGCTCAGTCGGTTAAATGTCCCATTCTTGATTTCAGCTCAGGTCATGATCTCAAGAGTTGTGAGATGGAGCCCCGAGTGGGGCTCCACACTAGTTGTGGAGCCTGCTTAAGATTTTCTCTCCCTCTCCCTTTGCTCCTCTTCCCCTGGTTTCTCTCCCTCTAAAAAAAAAAGGAAAAAGAAAACAATAAGTCCAGATATCTGACAAGGACTTGTATCCAGAATATGTAAAGAACACTTACAACTGACTAACACAAATACAAATAACAATTTAAAAATGGACAAAGGATTTGAATAGACATTTCTCCAAAGAAGATACACAAATGCTCCATAAGCACATGAAAAGGTGCTCTACATTCATAGCCCTTGAGAAATACAAATCAAAACCACAGTGGCATACCACTTAACACCCACTAGGATGGCTAAAATCAAAATTAGATAAGTGTTGGTAAGGATGTGGAGAAATTTAACTCTCATAATGTTGCTGGTGAGAATTTAAAATGATGCAGCTACTTTGGAAAACATTCTAGAAGTTCCCTAAAAAGTTAAGCATAGAGTTACCATATGATCCCAGCAATTTCAGTCCTATGTATATACCTAAGAAAAAGGAAAACTTACATACATGCAAAAGTTAGTACACAAATGTTCATAGCAACATTATTCATAGTAGCCAAAGAATGGAAACAACCCAAGTGCCCGTATTATTCAGCCATAAAAAATGATAAAAGTAATAAAGTGCCAATATACATGCTACATGAATGAACCTTGAAAACATTACATTATGTGAGAGAAACCAGTCACAAAGGACCATATATCGCATGAGTCTATTTATATGAAATAACCAGAAAACGCAAATTCATAGAGACAGAAAGCATTTTAGTGGTTGCTTAGGGCTGATGGGAGGAGATAAAGAATGACCACTAATGGATACAAGATTTCTTTTTGTGGTAACAAAAATACTTTATAGTTAGACTGTGGTTACACAACCCTATGAATATAATAAAAAAACATTAAATTGTACACTTTGAATAGGCAAATTGCATGGTGTGTGAATTATATCTCAATACAGTTGTTAAAAATTGTTAAACATTGTTGAAATTGTTAAAAATTAGTTGAGGGGGTGTGCCTGGGTGGCTCAGTTGGTTAAGCGACTGCCTTCGGCTCAGGTCATGATCCTGGAGTCCCGGGATCGAGTCCCACGTCGGGCTCCCTGCTCAGCAGGGAGTCTGCTTCTCCCTCTGACCCTCTTCCCTCTCGTGCTCTCTATCTCTCATTCTCTCTCTCTTAAATAAATAAATAAAATCTTTAGAAAAAAAAAATTAGTTGAGGGGCACCTGGGTGGCTCAGTCAGTTAAACATCCCATTCTTGATTTCAGCTCAGGTCATGATCTCAGTTGTGGGAGCAAGCCCCACATGGGGCTCTGCACTGGACATGGAGCTTGTTTAGGATTCTCTCTCCCTCTCCTTCTGCCCCTGCCCTGCTTGCACTTGTGTGCACTCTCTCTCTCTCTCAACGAAAAATAATAACTAAAAATAAAAATTAGTTGAGCATATTTTTGTGGGCTTACTTCTGGATTCTCTTTTGTTCCACTGACCTATGTTTATATCCCTTTGTCTATGCTACATGGTCTTTTTTTTTTTTTTAAGATTTTATTTATTTGACAGAGAGAGACACAGGGAGAGAGGGAACACAAGCAGGGGGAGTGGGAGAGGGAGAAGCAGGCTTCCCGCCGAGCAGGGAGTCCGATGCGGGGCTCGATCCCAGGACCCTGGGATCATCCTGAGCTGAAGGCAGACGCTTAACGACTGAGCCACCCAGGCGCCCCTATGCTACATGGTCTTGATTATATACATTGTCTTGTACGGATGGAGTAAGTATTGATATTGGGTAATTTCTCTCACTTTGTTCTTCTTTGTCAAAATTATTTTAGCTATTTTATAGCATGCTTTTCCATGTAAATTATCTATGTCTACAAAAGACTTTGCTTTTATTTCCTTCTATTTGGTTTGGGTTCGTTTTTGCTCTTCCAGTTTCTTGATGTAGGAACCTTTCCTTATTTCTAATGTAAGCATTTAGTGCTATAAAATTCCCTCTTAGCACTGCTTTAAATGCATCAAACATACTTTAAGTTATTGTAAAGACAACCTACACTCTTCCTCTTGTGTTTCTCCTTTACTACTCGTCTCAGTATACTGATACCAGAAATGTGAGGGCTTTTTCCCCCCCAATTCTGCAATTCTGCAACACCAGCTGAATGCCCTACAATTTAACTCAGTTCTGACGCTATCTACCTGAAGATGGCATCAGATCGCACAGATTAAGGGCTCAAGTCCCAGTAATTACCTGTGCTTCTGACTAATCAGCTATAAATTGGAGGTTCCCATGACCCCCTCCTCGAGTTTGATTAATTCTTTAGAACGGCTTACAGAACTCAGAAGTTTACTATTTATCAGTTTATTATAAAAAGATATGATAAAGGATACAGATAAACTTCCAGATGAAGAGATGCATAGGGTACAGTATACAGAAAAGGCCCTTTTCCTGTACATAGACAGCCATCTTCTTAGTCTGCTCTCACGTGGTAGAAAGTATAAGGTCCGGGGCCCTTGTTATAAGGGCATTAATACCATTCATGAGGGCTCCACCTTCATGACTTTATCATCTCCCAAAGGCCCCTCCTCCTAATACAATCACATTGGGGATTAGCTTTCAACACATGAATTTTAAGGGACATAAACATTCAGTCTATAGCACTGAGCAAATACATTCTGTTCACCAGGAAAGAAAAACTCTATATGGAAGGTAGACTCAGATGGCTTTCGCATATGAGGCAGAGAGGAGTTAAGGACGCCACTCACGTTTCTAGTATGAGTAGGCAGTGGTGGCAGATGGTTTAGTTGCACAACTCTGTAAGTCTGGTTAAAACATAGACACAGTTCAGGGCAGCTGGGTGGCTCAGTTGGTTGAGTGTCTGACTCTTGATTTCGGCTCAGGTCATGATCCCAGGATCATGAAACTGAGCTTTGCCTTAGGCTCTGCGTTCAGCAGGGAGTCTGCATGAGATTCTTTCCCTCTGCCCCTTCCCCTGCTCCTCTCTCTCTCTTTAATAAATAAATAAATCTTTAAAAAAATACACACAATTCTCTGAAATAAGGTTATGCAATCATAGAGTGAAAGGGGGAGAGGGAGAGAGAGAATTTTAAGCAGGCTCCGTGCCCAGCTCAACCAACTGAGCCACCCAGGTGTCCCTACTCATTCTTTTAAAATAGCCATGTGGTATCTACAATTAATAATTTATAGATTGTGAGGAAAACTTTAATAAATCTTCAAAGTACAAATACTACAGATAACATTGATTCATCACACTTGACAGCATAACAAATTGCAAGCAGATTGAAGTACATGCATTTTTAAATATCCACATAAAGTTCTACAGAAAAATAAAGATGAATATTTATAATTTAGGATAGGAAGACAACTTCTGAGCAAAATAAAAGGTAGAGAGAATAAATGAAAAACATTGATTTGCCTCACTACATAACAATATAAACTCGCTACATGATAAAAGTATTTCCCAGACACTGCCCCTAAACTGATACTCAGTATTTCCACTTGTTTGTCTCACAGATATTTCAATCTATCACATTCCTAACCACCCATTCTTACCTCCAAAGATGTACCCCTCTCAGGTGTTTCTATCTTAGTTAATGACATTTGTTCTTCCAGTTATTCACCTCAGAATCCCCTGGTGGTATCTTTCACTACTCCTCTTTCTCTTGTTATTTCACCCAATACATCAGCCAATCCTGTTAGTCCAGCTTTAAAATATATACAAAATGCAAGGGTGCCTGGGTGGCTCGGTCAGTTAAGCGTCTGCCTTCGGCTCAAGAGTCCTGGGATTGAGCCCCACCTCGGGCTCCCTGCTTAGCAGGGGAGCATTTCCCTAATTTTTTGGCACAGAAAGATATCTCATACTGATCGTGTACTTTCCCTGTCCTAGTCCTAGAATCAAACACTTCTCCAAGAAGCTTTGGTTTCTCTTATTAGTGAATGGTATTTAGAAACCAAGGTCTGGGCACTAGGTTTATGCTCATTACTACAGGGCATCATTGCTTCCAGGCCCATTCACCAAATAGAAACAGAAAATATAAAAACACATTTTTGAAAGGAAATGATAAGACTTTAATGAGGAAGTTCAAGCTTTTTTATTTTAGAAGTTTTTTGATTTACAGAAAAACTGCAAAGATAGTACAGAATCCCCAAATACCCTATACCTAATTTCCCCTACTATTAGCATGTTATTGTGGTGCTTTTGTTACAATTAATGAGCCAACATTGAAACATTATTAACTAATGTCCATACTTTATTCATATGTAGTTTTCATAGTTTTTATCTAATATCCTTTTTCTGTTCCAGGATCTCATTCAGGATACATTATTTTTAGCAGTCATGTCCCATTAGGCTCCTCTCGGTTGTCATGGTTTCTCAGACTTTCTCTGTTTTTAATGACCTTTACAGTTTTGAGGAGTTCTGGTCAGGCGTTATGTAGAATGTCTCCTGAATTGGCATTTGTCTGATGTTTTCTTATTATACTAGGATTATGTGTTTTGGAGAGCAAGACCACAGAGGTTAAATGCCATTTTCATCACATCTCATCAAGACTATGAACTATCAAAATGACATCACTATTGATGTTAACGTTGATCACCTGCATGAGATAGACACCCAAATTTTTAATCATGAGTTTATATCAATCCAACATCACAGGTTCTTCTTTACCTCCCATCACCCTTTATTTATATCTCTCTTGTGCCCCCGGGGTCCACACTGCACACGACGCACATCGTCCCCGCCACCGGAGACGCGGCGGCGCCCACACAGCGCACCCGAGGTGCAGACCTCCTCGGGCGACCCCCAGGCTCCAACGCGCTCCCTCGAGCACCGCCCGCCACCCCACGGGAGCACACCGGGCCCCGCCCGCCCCGGAACATCGCGAGATCCGGCCTTGCGGTTTAGCTATGCCTTTGCGCCTAGAGACTACGTTTCCCAGAAGGGACTGCGGCGATGACCCACTCGCCAGGCAGCATCGGCGGTGCTTTGTGCGCCTGCGCCATCTCCCGGCTCCTGGCGGCGGGTCCGCCGATACCGAGGAGGAAACGCACCCGGGGCTGCGGGGAGCGCGGCCACGGGGGCACCCGAACCCGAGGACGCGGCAGGTGAGGGCCTCTGGAGCTTGCCAGGCGCACCGGGGTCCCTGCGGGAGCGGGCTCCACGGCCGGGCGTATCTCGGGCCTGGGAAGAACCGGAACGTTTCGCCCCAGCGTCGGTCTGCGGCTTTCCGGGCTCTGGACTACATTTCCCGTCGGCCTCCGCGTCCAGGCTCATAGCGCCGGGTATGTGGACCCCTTAGGTGGGTGTGAAGGGGTCCCCGACTCCCAAAAGTGCTGGTCGATGTTTTACAGTCTTTCCTACGCGTGCCTTTTTTTTTTTTTTTAAATTTGGGACAAAGTCTTGTTTCATAAGATTCTCAAACAGTTGCAAAGACCTCAAAATATTTAGCGCTACTAGTTCAGAAGCAGAGACTTAAATTTGAGAACATTTTAGATGATCTTGTAAAAGATCTGTGTCCAACAATGGGGAAGTGGTTGAGTAAATCATGGGCCACTAATGTATTAAAATATCATAAAGCTATTACAGATAATGTTAAGGCAGTGGTCATAATAAGAAAAAAATTTACATGTTAAGGAATGATCAATTACTTCATTTACATATTTCTTAGAATTAAATATTTGTAACATGCCAGGCATTGTTCTGAGTTCCTTTATAGAATACTACTCGTTTAATGATGAACTCACAAAGTGGTTAAATGACATCATTCTTAATACTTGGATTTTTTGAGGGGGAGACGAACCATTAGAGACGATGGACTCTGAAAAACAAACAGGGTTCTAGAGAGGAGGGGGGTGGGGGGATGGGTTAGCCTGGTGGGGGGTTTTAAAAGGGGCCCATTCTTTTTTTTTTTAAAGATTTTATTTATTTATTCATGAGAGACAGAGGAGGAGAGAGAGAGCAGAGGGAGAAGCAGGCTCCCAAGGAGCAGGGAGCCCGATGCGGGACTCGATCCCAGGACCCTGGGATCATGACCTGAGCCGAAGGCAGACGCTTAACCATCTGAGCCACCCAGGGCCCCGAGGGCACATTCTGCGTGGAGCACTGGGTGTTATGCACAAACAATGAATCATGGAACACTGCATCAAAAACTAATGATGTAATGTATGGTGGTTAACATAACAATAAAAAATTATTAAAAAAAATAAAAAAATAAAAGGAAAAAAAAAAAAAAAATACTTGGATTTTTTTTTTTCCAGTTCTTTTTTTAAGCCCATGTGCCAATCAATAGGTGGGTGGTTTGACCTCTTTTGCAGAATATTCTCATGTTGTATAAAGAGACCACTTGTGAATATCTTTTTTTGTCAGTTAATGTTGCCCCACATAATTTTTGATAGTTGTTTGGTGTTCCATCATATGGCTGTGCCAACAGTGATTCAACCACTTGCCTACTTTTGTGGACTGTTATGTACTAATTTTTGTTCTCTTTTTCAGTAAATTTTGTGCACACAGCTTTGCTCACCGTTAGTCTCTGTGCAAGGGCACATTTATGTGATGGTAATGGAGCCATCTAATTTGCCCATTGCAGCCACACCCCATTTGTTGACTCAAGGCAGGGTCCACAAAGTGGTGTCCACCAGGCCTTAGGAAGGGCTGTAAGGTTCTTTGTGAATTTGGAAGTCGAGTAAGAGCCAGGGAGGTGTTACATTGTGGGTACGAGAGAGTTAAACGGTCTATTTCTGGGAAGGCTTCGCTGTGGGCTGGGCTGATGCTGATCAGGCAGGCTGTGCTCCCTGGCCTGAGGACAGCCTTTTTTGTCCTTGGGACGCCATGTGGTCTTAGTCACTGAACCAGGACTGAGCATCCTCATCACAGATCTGCATCAGTAACAAGGTGGAATTCTCTGGATATTTAGGGGAAGTGGGAGAGAAAGGGCCACGGGTTCCCTGTCTCATTGTGACAGCTAAAGCTATGTTTCCTAGAGTTGGGTAAGGGCCACAGTGTTCCGACTCTAGTTTTTGCAGGAAGCGGGGGATAAAAAGGTGGGGACTTGTAACCATGGCATTCTGGGAGCTAGAAGGCAAGCTTGGCCTCTCATGTTTGCTCTTTCCTCCCCCAGCTCTGCCATCTCAGGACTCTGCCCTTCCCCAAGAGAGGAACCTGGAGGAGGACCCATCAGCCCATGAAATTCTAAAAGTCATGTCCCTTGTGAGTTTTAAAATCATGTAAATATTTGCTTTGTTTATCTTGAAGCCTCCCATCTGGGTTTCATCCAAGAATCCAGTTCTCAGAGGTTCCCATTCTAGGGACTATAAAGGCCAGGCAGCTGGTACCCTCTCCCACTGCCCCCTCCACTCTGACCAATGCCCATGGGTTCATTCTGTATAGCATTCCATATCTTCTGATGGTGTGGTATTCTGCCAGGAGGCTAGATAGAGCAGAAATCCATTTCCTAGTATAAACTGAAAACCAAGGTTTGATGAAATGGAGATGAATATTTATGAGGGATATGACATGAAAAAGCATGGGAACAGGTCTTGATTGGTCTCAATGTCAGTGTGAGGCACGATCTCTTAGCTGGGTATCTGTGGGAGATTAGATGCCAGAATTAAGGTCCAATTTGAGGTCAAACAGAGCATTTGAATTGGGTCATTCTATAGCAGCTTCTTCAGCTTGAGAACGAGAGAAGTACAGAGGTGAGCGGGTTGTGAGGCAACCAACCAGATGGATGAATTTTTCAGAATCCAGGTAGGCAGAGCTTGGAAGAGCCTTCAGAGATCTGCTCCAGCCTCTGCATCCAAAATAAGAGAATGGTTGAGTCATTTTTTCACTTGATAGAAAATTGTACAGCTAATAAAAGTAATCTTAATTTAAGATTTTTCTCATAAAGAAGAATGCTTTGATATGTTCGGACATAATGATGAACCTCTGTCTTCAAATAATTCTCAATGTATATGAAAATCGTATTTTCTAAGACAGAAAACATTAATAAAACATTTGAGGGTGAGTCTATCAAAAATTGTTGGTTTGTTTTGTTGTTGTACAAAAGTAGAAATTATAGGCCTCTCATTGAGGAAGAGCACATTTATTTTTTTTTTAAGATTTTATTTATTTATTTGACAGAGAGACAGCGAGAGAGGGAATACAAACGGGGAGTGGGAGAGGGAGAAGCAGGCTTCCCGCTGAGCAGGGAGCCCAACGCGGGGCTTGATCCCAGGACCCTGGGACCATGACCTGAGCCGAAGGCAGACACTTAATGACTGAGCCACCCAGGTGCTCCTCATTGAGAATTTATTATATGCCAAGGACAGAGTAGGCCACCTGCTTGTCACAACTGGGGAAACTCTACTTGGCTGAGTTTTAATTTTCCTCCCAGATCTATGTACAGAGTTTGGGTTTGTAGTGAAAAGTAATGCTCAAGAACATCTCAACACTGTTTTACTCATGCCGACCCTATCTTGTAACCTGCTCACATCGGAGGCCTCCAGCCCCAGCCTTCTTTTTCACCAGAACACCCCATTCCTGCAAAGACCTCCTCCGTCTCCTCTCACCCCACCAAGAAACATTTCCTTGAAATATGCCAATAACATACCTGCCTGTTGTTTCAGGAGTCAGACTTGTTCAGGGCTGTGGCCATAGTCTTCTCCCAGGAAGAATGGGAACAGCTTGCACCTGCTCAGAGGGATTTGTACAGAGACGTGATGTTGGAGACCTATAGCAACCTGGTCTCACTGGGTAAGATGACCTGGCATGTTAGTTTGTATGTTACCCTCGGCGTATCTGTTCCTTATCCATTTCCGGGTACCTTTTGAGTGGTCAAAGAGCAGCTCCCTGGGTTGATACTACATCTTCCCCAACCCTCAGGTGACTGTCACATCTTCCTCTGGTCTCCTGCTCGCCGACCACATCCTGGATCTGAATTCTGGGGCCCCACACCATAACCGGGTGGCATGTTTTTTCTCACATCCAGGTCTTGCCATCGCCAAACCTGATGTGATCTCCTTCCTGGAGCAAGGCAAAGAGCCCTGGGTGGTAGAGAAAACGTCCAGAGGAGGCCTGTGGCCAGGTGAGTGAGGCCTGTATAGGAAGAGAGAAACTACCACAGATAACCATCTAGTGGGTGGAAGAGAAAAGAAGACCTTTGAGGTAGAAAATTTTCCCTCCAAGATGCCCAACTCAGAGGTCAGGTCCCAGTTCTCACCTCTTGTAGTGTGTCAGCAGCATTTCACAAAAGTGGTTGTTCCTTTCTTCCTGAAACATTTCTGTGTATTTGGGACATCACTACCTCCTCATTAAACCATCTTCAGCCTCCTCTGATGGGATTGTCTCACTTTCTTTAAATGTTGGAGGCCCCCAGGGCTCAAACTTGGGTTTCTTCTTTCCTGTTTATTTTCATTTCCTAAGATCCTCTCCATTACCATGCTTTAAATACTTTTTGTACCTGTGTTGTCCAGTATGGAGCCACTGGCCCCGTGTGGCTGTTGTAATTTAAATTAATTACAGTTAAATACATTAGGAAGATCAGTACCTCAGTTGCACTTGCCACATTTCAGAAGTTCAGTAGCCACTCTGTGGCTTGTGCCTACTGTATTGGACAATGCAGATACAGAACATTTCCATCATCCTTAGCTTTTCCTTACGCCCAGCTGCCTTCCCATCATATCCACTTCAGTGTTCACTGGGGACTTTGAACTTAACAAGTCCAGAAAGGGGTTCTTGATCAATTTGCTCTTCCCTCTTTCTTCCATACTTTAGTAATAGGGTACTTGATTCTTACACTTGCTTAAGTCAAAAAAAAATTTTTTTTTTGAGATTTTATTTATTTATTTGACAGAGACACAGCAAGAGAGGGAGCACAAGCAGGGGGAGTGGGAGAGGGAGAAGCAGGCTTCCTGCCAAGCAGGGAGCACAATGCGGGGCTTGATCCCAGGACCCCGGGACCATGACCTGAGCCGAAGGCAGATGCTTAACGACTGAGCCACCCAGGCGCCCCTCAAGTCAAAAACTCTTAAAGCATTCTTGACTTTTCTCTCTCACGTACTTATTCAGTTTGTCAGCAAGGCCTGTTTTCTCTACCTTGAAATATGTCCTGAATTTAACCACTTCTCACCAATACCACTGCTACCATTCCATCCACGCCACCATCATCTTTGGCTTGGACTATTGCAATAGCCTCCCCATCCCTCTGCTTCTGTTCTTGCCCACTACAGTGTATTGTCTACACAGCAGCCAAAGTGAGGGTGTATTGCATCGCTGCTCAAGACCTACTAGTAAATTCCCATCTCACTCAAGAGAAAATCCAAAATTGATACCATGGCCTAGAAGCCTCTACGTGCTGTCTCATATAATAGCCACCAGCCAAATGTGCTGTTTAAATTTTAACTTTAACTAAAATTAAATGAAATGTAACATTCCATTCCATGGTAGCCTATAGCCACATTTCAAATGCTCAGTAGCCTTGGGTAGCTAGTAGCTCCTATATTAGGGTGGAATCGAATATTTTCGGCATCATAGAAAGTTCTATTGGACTGTGTTGCTCTATGATGAGCATCCCACTTCCTCTCTGATTTCCTCTCCTGCTACTCTCCTTGTTGCTCATTCGGCTGCAGCCACACAAGCCTCTTTGCTATACCTTTAATGTAGGGGTTGGCAAGTGTTTTCTTTAAAGGGCCAGAGAGTAAATATTTGTGGGCTTTGTGGGCCATATATGGTCTCTGTCACAACTACTCAGCTATGCTGTGGTAGCATAAGAGCAGACAGTACAAATTTACCCGCCCCAACTTTGATACAGAAAGCATGTTCCTGCCTCAGGGCTTCTTCCCTTTCTGTTCCCTCTGCCTGGGGTGTTCTTGCTCTGGATGGAGGGTTGCTCAGCCTCAGCATTGTTGACACAGAGGGGCCGTCCAGTGGACTGTAGGATGTTTAGCAGCCTCCCTGGCTTCTACTCATTAGTTGTGAGTATAACCCCCCTCCCTTTGGTTGTGACAATCAAAAATGTTCCAGATATTACCATATGTCCCCCAGGGGGCAAAATCTTCCCTGATTGAGAACCAAAGTTCAAAGTCAAGTGTGACAATGCAAGACCAAGAATGTGTTGGTTGATAAGCAGTTTCTGCAAGAAACAGTCTCCACCACATACAGTGTACTGTAAGAGAATTTCAGATGGGCAACCAAGAATTAAACATTACAGACGTGTAGATTCATCCACATTGAAGTGGTAGTTGGCCCCTGGGAATGAACGAGGTCAAGTGTGGAGTGAACATCAGGAGAGAAGATACAGGGGCACCTGGGTGGCTCAGTCGGTTGGGCATCTGCCTTCTGCTCAGGTTGTGATCCCAGGGTCCTGGGATTGAGTCCTGCACTGGGGGCTCCTTGCTCAGCGGGGAGCCTGCTTCTCCCTCTGCCTGCCACTCCCCCTGCTTGTGTGCTCGCTCACTCTCTCTCTCTCTGACAAATAAATTAATAAAATCTTAAAAAAAAAAAGAAAAAGGAGAGAAGATACGTGCTGCTGCATAACCCAGTGTCTTCACTGGCATCTTTGGGAGGCCAGTATTCTGCCAGCCACACCCGTAATACCATTTTTGCTTTTTGTTTTTGTCATTTTAGTTTGACAGTTTATGTTTGATTGTTTGGGGTGCTGAGTTTTATTTATTTCTTAGATCTGTGGGTTTACATCATAGTCAAAGAGGACTTCCCCCTTTGACATTATAAATGAGTCTCTTGTGATTTTTTTTCCTGGCATATTTATGGTGCTATTTATGATCCCTGTGGAGTTTATTCTGAGTGCAAGATGTGATTTTACACTATTTTCCAGGTTGTTGTCAGTTTATTCAAATAGCATTTATTAGCTCATTTTATCTTTTCACCACTAATCTACATAGCCACCTTTATCATCTACTCTGTTGCCTCTGGATATATTTTTTGACTTTTGGGTCTGTTTCGTTAATCTCTTTGTCTAACTCTGTGTCCAATACCATACTTTTTTAATTATTGAAGGTTTTAAGTATCTGGTAGCCTAGTTCCTCTTCATTCTTATTTTTCAGAATTTTCCTTGCTATACTCATTTATTTTTCCATCTGACCTTTAAAATTAGAATATCTGGTTTAAAAAAAAATCATGTAATTATTCTTACTGGAGATCACAGTAAATTTTCAGATTGAGGAGAAAACTTATTTTTTTTAATTGATTTTTATCTATTTAAGAAAATGATAGGCTTTCCCTTCCCTTTATGTCCACCCCCTGGTGGTTTTAAAATTTTATTTATATGGCTCTTGTATATTTCTTATGATATTTATTGCTAGGTAGTATATATTTATTGCTGTTATTGGAAATGGGGCCCTTTTCATCCCTATTATATGCCAACCAGTTGTTTTTTATACCTGGCAAAAGCCATTCATAGCTTCAGATTAATTTTGTAGTTAATCCAACTTACTGAATTTTCTCATTATTTACAACAGTTTTTCATGTAATACTCTTGAGCTTTGCAAGTAGTCAGTCATATCATCTGCAAATGATAATCTTTTTGCATTTTTATAGCTCTTGGGTTTTTTTCCCTTTTGCCTAAGTAGGAAGATTATGTCGTACCCCCAGAACGTTGATGGGGGTAGTTTACATCCTAAGTTTGTTCGTGACCTTAATAGAAATGTTCTTTGTGTCTTTTCATTAAGCATAATATCACATTTAGGAATGAAATAGAGATACTTTATTTGGTTAAAGAAGTATCCACCTTTTCATATTGAGTTTTCTTATTTTAATCTATGAAGTCTGGATGATATGAATAGATTCCCTAATACTTGAACTCCTAATACTGAATACTGAATCTAAACATTCAAATGTTGCATTTCTTGAGTCAGTGTGGTAATTTATATTTTTTCTGCTCTTTTTAATTTTTTAAAAAAATCACTGTAAAATATACATAACAAAATTCATCTTTTTAACCATTTTAAGGTGTATAGTACATTGGCATTTAGTACATTTACAGTGTTGTGCAATATCACCATTATCTAGTTTCAGAATATTTTTATCACCCTGTGGTTTTCACCCTGGTTTTCTGGCACACTGCTCTTAAAACCTGTGGAGTCTCTGAAGTAATAAGTCTTCTTGTATGCTAATGAGATGACTGTGGTTGGGGTCACCTGGATAGCTTCAGGATGGGGGCTGGTTGAGAGAAAAACCAATTTTGTAATTAGAGGCTTGGAACTCTCAGCCCTATCCCCCAAACTCTGGAGGGACTGGAGGTTGACTGAATCACCAAAGGGCAATGATTTAATCAATCCTGCCTATGTAATGAAGCTTCCATAAAAAAATCCCTAAAGTACAGTGTTTGGAGAGCTTCCAGGTTGGCGAACATGTGGAGGTACTGGGAGGGTAGTGTTCCTGGAGAGGGTGTAAAATCTCCACATCCCTCCCCCTGTACCTTGTCCTGTGCATTTCATTCATCTGACTGATGAGTTATATTCTTTGTAGTAAACTGGTAATCTAGTAAGTAAACCATTTTCCTGAATTCTGGAAGCCAGTCTATCAGATGATTGAACCCCAGGAGGGGTTGTGGGAACCTCCAGTTTATTGGGGTGGGAGGTGAAGGGAGTAGAGGTAGTCTGTGGGCCTGAGCTCTTAATCTGTGGGATCTGATGCTTTTTGCAGAAAGACAGTATAAAAATTGACTTAAATCTGTAGGACACCCAATTGGTATCCACCAGAGTTGGAGAAGCGCTTGGCACACATTTTGTCACCAGAAGCGTCAGAAGGGAAGTATGTATAGTAGAGTCGTGTTGAAAGGTGTGTTTTTCCTAAACACACCCCAGAGGAAACCCCATACTTAAGTAGTCTCCTCACTGCCCTCTCCCCGCAGCCCCGGCAACCAGTAACCTGCTTTCTGTCTCTGTGGAATTGCTCATTATGGATATTTCACATAAATGGAATCATATGATATGTGGCCTTTAGAGTCCAGCTTCTTTCACTTAGCCTGATGTCCTTAAGGTTAATCCATGTTGTAACATGTGACAGGATTTCCTTCAATTTTAAGGCTATGTGTATGTACCACAACTTTTTTATCCATTCATCTGTCAATGGACATTTGGGTGGCTTCCACCTCTTGGCTATTGTCAATAATGTTGCAGTAAACATGGGTGTGCAGGTGTGTCTTTCAGATTCTTTCAGTTCTTTCGGATATATACTCAGACTATAATATAGAATTGCTGTATTATATGGTAATTCTATTTTTAATTTTTTTAGAACTCTCCCTACTGTTGTTGTTGTTGTTGTTTTAGTTATCTGTACCCAACATGGGGCTCAAACTCATGACCCTGAGATCAAGAGTTTTATGCTCTTCCAACTGAGCCAGCCAGGCGCCCCTCCATACTGTTCTTTCTGTCTTTTTTTTTTTTTTAAGATTTTATTTATTTATTTGAGAGAGAGAATGAGAGATAGAGAGCACGAGAGGGAAGAGGGTCAGAGGGAGAAGCAGACTCCCTGCTGAGCAGGGAGCCTGATGTGGGACTCGATCCCAGGACTCCAGGATCATGACCTGAGCTGAAGGCAGTCGCTTAACCAACTGAGCCACCCAGGCGCCCTCTTTCTTTCTTTTTTAAAAACAGGTATTTATTTATTTTTAGGGAGAGAGAGAAAGAATGCATGCGAGAGCTGGGGGGAGGGGCAGAGGGAGAGAATCTTTCAAGCAGACTCCCTGCTGGGCAAGGAGCCCGACATGGGGCTTGGTCCCACAAGCCATGAGATCACGACCTGAGCCAAAACCAAGAGTCGGACACTTAACCAACTGAGCCACCCATGCGACCCTCCATACTGTTTTCTGTAGTGTTTGCACCATTTTACATTCCCACCATCAGGGCACAATGGTTCCGGTTTCTTCAACTCCTCATCGACATGTTATTTTCTGTTTTGTTTTGTTTTGAGAGTGGCCATCCTAATGGCTTTGCGGCATTATCTCATTATAGTTTTGATTTTCATTTCTCTAATGATAAGTGATGTTGAGCATGTTTTCATATGCTTCTTGGCCATTTGTATACCTTCTTTGGAGAAATGTCTATTCAGGTCCTTTGCCAATTTTTTAATAGGGTAGTTTTTTTGTTGTTGTTGAATTGTAGGAGTCCTTTATATATCCTGGATAGTAACGTCTTATCAGATACATGATTTAGAAATATTTTCTCCTATTCTGAAGGTTGCCTTTTTACTTTTTTGATTGTTTCCTTTGATGCACGAAAGTTTTTAAGCTTGATGTAGTCTCGTGTGTCTATTTTTGCTTTTGCTACCTTTAGTGCCGTATCCAAGAAATCACTGCCAAATGCAATGTCATGAAGTTTTCCCCCTGTGCTTTCTTCTAGGAACTTAACATTTTTAGGTCTTACATTTAGGTCTTTAATCCATTTTGAGTTAATACTTTATATGGTGTAAGGTAAGGGTCCTGCTTCATTCTTTTGCATGTGGATACCCAGTTTCTTCAGAACCATTTGTTAAAGAGACTGTCCTTTCCTCATTGTGTTGTCTTGGCACCCTATCAAAGATCATTTGCCCATATGCATGGGGGTTTATTTCCGGGCTCTCTAATTCTGTTCCATTTGTCTATGTCTGCCTTTTTGCTGGTACCACACTGTTTTGATTACTGTGGCTTTGCAGTATGTTTTGAAATCAGGAAGTGTGAGACCTCTAACTTTGTCTTTTTCAAGATTATTTTGGCTATTGGGATCCCTTGAGGTTCATATGAGGGAACTAAAATATCTTGATGCTAAGACTATCTGTAAGATTTTTAGACCTATTTCTTTGGTTATCCAAAACAGTGACTACTAATGCTAAATAATTAAATTTAAAATACTCTGCCAGTCCCTGTCAGGGACACATTAAGTTAATACAAAAGACCTCACTATTCTTGTTGCTATTTTGCAACTTTACAGGGAGTTGAACAGAAGCCAGAAGTCAGAAAATTATGGCTGTCAGTACTATCTTTGGATGCTTACAACACAGTATATAATTAGGGATGGCTTAATTTAGATGAATGTAAAAGGGCTCATATAATAAACAATACCATACTCTGCCATAAATCAACACAATCTGTGATAGAAAAATGGAAAAAGTGGAAGTCTGAGGAGAGGATTGTTTTTAGTGGCACGTCCTTTTTCCACATTGCCCAAAAAGCAAGTAATGTACCTTACTTTAATTCCTAAAACCAAATTTCCATTTGGGCATAGTTAAATGTTCCCAAACTTGTCTTCTCTTTCTACCAGGTTGGCTTTAATTTTCCATGTTCCAGTTTCCATGTAGTCTTTTGGTTGTCCTTCATAGGATGGCAGGCAGATGTTGCTAACAGTTGAGTAGGTCAACCACCAATTCACAGGTTGCCATCATAATGGCCATATTTGGAATCTGTCTCACTAGAATTGTCAGACCACAGTGAAGAGACCCAAAACCGTCCTTCTGAACAACCAGACAGGGGCATCTGGGTGGCTCAGTCGGTTAAGCATCTTCTTTTGGCTCAGGTCATGATCCCAGGGTCCTGGGATCGAGCCCTGTATCGGGCTCCCTGCTCTGCAGGAAGCCTGCCTCTTCCTGTCCCTCTGTCTGCTGCTCCCCGTGCTTGTACGCTCTCTGTCTCCAATAAATAAATAAAATCTTTTAAAAAAATTAAAAAAACACAACCAGACATGGTGTCTGAAAAAATATCTGTACTTTGTGTCCTCGTCATGTAGTCTTGTTCTTGCAACTTCATGTGGACGCACTGTGGTTACAGTACAAGTTTTTGACATGACAGTGGCATCATTCCCACAAAATCTGATATTTCTTTCATAGACCCATCATCATGTTTCATTGTCAAACTAACTTTTTATTCTAGTAGTTTTTGCTTAATACTTTCACAAGTAACCAAATGAATAATGTTCTGTGATATGCCACCATATGAAGCAGACCTGCTCCTATAAAATCCTCTTTGGTCATCTGTCTACTACACTTTTTTTTTTTTTTAAAGATTTTACTTGTTTGTTTATTTATTATTTATCAGAGAGAGAGAGAGCACGTGCACAAGCAGGGAAGGCGGCAGGCAGAGGAAGAAGCAGGCTCCCCGCTGAGCAGGGAGCCCCACATGGGGCTCGATCCCAGGACCCCGAGATCATAACCTGAGCCAAAGGCAGACGCTTAACCATCTGAGCCACCCAGGCATCCCTGTCTACTACACTTTATTTATTTATTTTTTTAAAAAGATTTTTATTTATTTTTTGACAGAGAGGGAACACAAGCTCGGGGAGTGGGAGAGGGAGAAGCAGGCCTCCCGCTGAGCAGGGAGCCCAATGGGATCATGACCTGAGCCAAAGGCAGACGCTTAACAACTGAGCCACCCAGGCGCCCCTGTCTACTACACTTCATAAGCACATTCAAAAGCACCCATTTGCTTTCCCCAGAGTTCCTCGCATTAAGCTGTAACCAGTTCTTTATTAGCCAAATGGATTTGGTTGCTGTGATTACATAAAACAGGCTACTGCAACTGAAATCATGTAATAGGTAAAACCAGGATCAAATACACCATTTGACTTTTCCCTGCAGTTTGAATAGGCAGCAGAGAATGTTGTTCTGAAGAAGCCACCCCCATTAAGTTGGGGCCTAATTCTCTAAACAAGGAACAGGGCCCTTCTTTTTCCACCGTCACATTTAGGCAATGGAAAGGTCCAGCAGAGACTGGTTTAGTAGACACTAGGTCTAAGCCATGGTATTCAGCTGAACTTCAGAGGTAGAAGGCATCGCAGTAGAATGCCACAGCTGTGTTACTGTAACTGCCAGTGGACAGGCGAGGCCAGCCTTCCTGTCCTACCACTTCACCTGGCAAGCAGATACACCGTTGTATGCCTCTGGCCAGATGAAGATCCAGCTACCCTTCCCCGTCATTTTTTAAAATCTGCTTCATTGAGGTATAATTTATATTCAATAAAATGCATGCATTTTAAGTACAGTATCTTGATGAGTATGGACAAACATATACACTGGCATAACCGTAACCACAGGCTAGAGAGCATTTTCATCGCCCTGAAAAGTTCCCTTGTGCACCTTCTACACAAGTGCTCATTTACCCAGCCCTAGGCAACCAATGATTTCTTCTGTCACTCTAGATTATATGTTTTCTCGGGGTTCATAGAAACATTCATTTGTTTAAAAACGTGGTTCAGAGGTGATTCTGAGCCACACTAACATTTTAGAACTACTCTTACAACCTCCCTCTATTTCATCTCAATTTATGGTATTTCCTCTGCCTCTCTTCTACTTACCCATTTTCAAATTGCCTAGCCACATTCAAGAGCTTATAGGTATACTAATGAGTTTAAGTTTCCTGGTTTTCACTATAGAAGTTCCTTTTTCTGGGGGCACCTGGGTGGCTCAGTTGTTAAGCGTCTGCCTTCGGCTCAGGTCATGATCCCAGGGTCCTGGGATCGAGCCCTGCATCAGGCTCCCTGCTTGGCAGGAGGCCTGCTTCTCCCTCTCCCGCTTCCCTTGCTTGTGTTCCCTCTCTCGCTGTGTCTTTCTCTGCCAAATAAAAAAAAAAAAAAAAAAAAAACTTAAAAAAAAAAGTTCCTTTTTCTGGAAAAGGAAAAAAACACATTTTTTTTTTTTTCAGTGCTGGAGTCCAGGTATGATACCAAGGTATCCTCTCCAGAGCAGCATATTTATGAAATACAGTCGCCACAGTGGGAGATAATGGAAAGCCTCACAAGTTATGGTCTTGAGTGCTCGAGGTTCCAAGATGACTGGGAATATAGAAGCCAGTTTGACAAACAACGGGGAAATCCAGATGGACATTTGAGTCAAATAATAATCAATCATGAAGAAATAGCCACTTTAAACCAACAAGCATCATTTCCTTTTTATCAGAAAACTCATCGTGGAGAAAAACCCTATGAATATAACGAATGTAGAAAAGACTTCTGGCAGGAGGACTTCCTTATTAATCATCAAGGAATTCATGCTAATGAGAAACCCTATAAATGTAAGGAATGTGGCAAGGCCTTTAAGTATGGCTCACGACTAATTCAACATGAGAATATTCATTCTGGCAAGAAACCCTATGAATGTAACGAATGTGGAAAGGCCTTCAATTCTGGTTCAAATTTCATACAACATCAGAGGGTTCATACTGGTGAGAAACCTTATGAATGTAAGGATTGTGCAAAGGCCTTTAGTCGAAGTTCACAGCTGATTGAACATCAACGAATTCATACTGGTGAGAAACCCTATCAATGTAAGGAATGTGGCAAGGCCTTCAATAGGATCTCACATCTTAAAGTACATTATAGAATTCATACTGGTGAAAAACCCTATGCATGCAAGGAATGTGGGAAGACCTTTAGTCATCGGTCTCAGTTGATTCAACATCAGACTATTCATACGGGCAAGAAACTCTATGAATGTAAGGAATGTGGGAAGGCCTTTAATCAAGGCTCAACTCTTATTAGACATCAGAGAATCCATACTGGTGAGAAACCCTATGAATGCAAGGCATGTGGGAAGGCCTTTAGGGTGAGCTCACAACTTAAGCAACATCAGAGAATTCACACTGGAGAGAAACCCTACCAATGTAGGGTTTGCGGTAGGGCTTTCAAACGGGTCTCACATCTTACTGTACATTATAGAATTCATACAGGTGAGAAACCATATGAATGTAAGGAATGTCGAAAGGCCTTCAGTCATTGCTCACAACTGATTCAGCATCAGGTAATTCATACTGAGGAAAAGTCTTGTAAATATAAGGAATGTGGGAGGACTTTACATCATGATTCAGCTACTGTTCAACACCAGAGAATGCATAATAAAGAAACACAAGTGAACATAATAAATGTAGAAAGGCCTTCCATTAGCACTTATCCTTTATTAATCATCAGAGAATTTATGTTAGCAAGCAGCCATATCAATGGAAATAATGGGGAGAGCCCATTAGCTTAGGCTAGTCCCAACTTCTTATATTTTGCAGAAAGACTTGAAGAATGTAATGCAAATGGGAATGCCTTCATTCAAGCTATCCTTTATCCTGAGTCATAAGATTAATAATGAAAAATTTTTCGGATATAAATTGTTTAGACCATAATTACTGAAGAAGCAAGGAAAGTTTGGAAAAAAAATTGTCTCTAACATATTACAGGATCACATTTTCTAACCACACTGTAATAATTTTAACAACAGCCAGAAGTTTTAATTTTCTTGGCAATTGAAAAAAAAAAAAAAACAACAGCCAAAATTACTCTTCAGTTCAATTTTTTTTTTTTTTTTAATAGGCACCACACCCAGTGTGGGCCTCAAACTCTTGACCCTAAGATCAAGAGTCATATGCTCTACTGACTAAGCCAGCCAGTACCCCATTACTCTTGGGTTAATAATAAATTATGCAAATTATCATGCATGGTAATGAAAAGAATGACAATTGAGAGATTTACATTCCAGGAGTTGTAGGATGTGGCTAAAGTTACTCAGAAGAATTTTTATGGCTTTTAAATGCATGCAAAGCATGAAAACCTGAAAGATTATTCTCAAATATATTAAATGTACTATTCAAGAAGCCAGAAAAGACAATACCAAACACTGAGGTGATGAAAGAACAAAGGTACAAAATAAAAAGAGAAAATAATGAAATTAGAAAGTGATTATCTTAAAATAATGTTTTTATTTCTTCCTGACCCAAGAATAAACAAAATTTAAGATAATACTTCTCAATTTCTATGTTGTTTTAGATTATCTTTCATCACTTTTGTCACAAACAGAAGGGGCCGGTTGCCTACATAGCAGCCATACCCAATTCCCCTTCCTACTGGCAGCATCTGTGTCTTGCCTTAGACTCTGAAGATAATCAGATGCTAACTTTTCAGCATCTTCTGCAGCTCAGGATGGCTCCTATGTTCCAGGGTAAGGCCAGTATGTTCCAGGGATCTGCAGGGGCTTCTGGGACAGATTTTCCTCATTCAGAAGAGACAGATCTATCAGGAAGACTCCATCTCCTCCCATCTGCTTTTAAACATTCTCCTATGAGAACATAATGCCTGGAGCTGTTGTAGCCTTGTTGGAACCAAAGGCAGAAAACCGAGGACCTCAGAGAAGCTGACCCAGAATTACCAGGCCAATTCTGGAACTGTCTCTGTGAAGCCTTGTTATGTAAAAAAAAAAAATAAACCTTTATTGCTGAAATTACTTTTAGTTGGATATTTTGTAAACTTGTAGCCAAAACCATCCTAAATTATGTAACTTCAAATTTTGGCTTCTAGAGGCTGCCTGCCTTCCTTGGTGTGGCCCCTTTCCATCCTCAATGGCAGCAATAGCTTGTTGAGTCTTTCTCACATTGCTTCGTTCTGACACTGATTCTTTGGCCTCTCCCACCTTTAAGGATCCTTGTGATTATGATGGCTCCTGTGGACAATCCAGGATAATCTCGTCTTAAATTCAGCTGATTAACAATCTTAAGTCTACCCACAACTTAATTCCCCCTTGCTACTAACATAACAGGTTTCTGGGATTAGGACAGAGACATCTTTGGAGGGCTATAATTCTGCCTACCACAGTAACTGCTTCTGTCCTGGCATTTGGCAAGAGTTTCCATCCTTAGGAGTTCAGGAAGTTAAGTAGGATATGCTTAGATAGTCTCATGTCCTTATTTTAGCCCAAGGAAATTTTCTTCCAAATATTAATTAGGACTTCTCAATTGTTCTATTTTATTCCTATTTTAAAACTTAAAAAAGATTTTATGTATGTATGTATTTGAGAGAGCGAGTCTGCACACAGAGCAAGAGCAGGGGGAGGAGCAGAGGGAGAGGGAGGGGAAAGACACGGGGCTCAATCTCACGACCCTGAGATCATGGCCTGAGCTGAAGCAGACGCTTAATCGACTGAGCCACCCGGGCAACCCAAGAATTAAAATTATAATCATGCAGGGCATGTAACATGGGAGGAGCAGAATTTGGGGGTGAGGGACATTTTAGAAATCTGTCCAAGATGCTCAGTATTTTCATGAACGCCCGAAGGCTGGCACAAGATAAGGGAGGAAGAGAATTGCAACCTTTCTGGGAGGCAAGCCTGACCTCTCGTTTTCTCTTCCCTCCTTGGTTCTCTGCCTTCTCAGGACTCACCCTTCCCCAGGAGAGGAACCTGGAGGACTCATTGGTCCTTGCTATTCTGAAAGCTATGGCCTAGGTAAGTCATGCTTGCTTTCTCCTTCCTCAAACCGTGCTCATTTTATATAAATGTAGGAAAATTTTTTTGGGATTTCCTGCCTAAGTTTCACCCATGCACAAAAGGATCAAATAGCCCTAAACTCTCGCTAAGAATCCCCCTCTCTCGGACCTGGGTTCACGTGTTCATATCTCCTATGGACTGTTTTGCAGGAGCCTCGATGGACCAGAAATGCATTGTTTCAGTGAAACATGAAAGACTCCTATGTGAAATATGATTTAATGGACTAATCAGTGTTTAAAGGAACCACACATAATAATGCTTTAATGGTAATCTACAGACCAGGGTTTCCCAGTTGAATAAGATGGGCAGTGGTGGTGGTTGGTCTCTGCTGTGGTCTGAATATGTTCTTCCAATTCATATGTGATGGTATTTGGAGGTGGGACCTTTACTAAGTGATTAGGTCAGGATGAATGGGATTAGTGTCCCCATAAAAGAGTCTCTAGAGAGATCCCTTACCTAACTCTTCCACTATGTGAGGACGTAATGTCAAGTTGGCCATCTGCAACCTGTGAGAGGGCCCTCACCGCAGCCCAGTCATCCTGCCCCCCCCCGATCTTGGACTTCCAGCCTCCAGAACCGTGAAAAACAAACTTCGATTGTAAATAAGCCACCCAGACTGTGGTACTTTGTTACAGCAGCCAGAATGGACGAAGACAGAAGGTCTCAGCCTCAGAATGTACTAACAGTGCTGTTTCACACCTTTTGAATTGGGGGTGGCATTGGGAATTTGGTTATAGAATCTGAGACATTGCCCAGCAGTCCCTCCAGATGGATGCCTGACCCAAGGTCATATTTGATGTTGAGGCACAGGTGTGGGTAGTGGGCCACATCTGTGTGAGCCTGGATGACCCCTCATCCCCCATTAGCATTCTATTGCTCGGGAATAAGGAAAGAGCACACTTAGGGATGGGCTACTAGGTGAGACGTGCCAGAGTGCATGAGGTATTGAAAATCATAGATCAGCAGAGCTAGGAATGTCCCTAAAGATATCTTGTTCAACCTCAAGTGCCCCAAAATGAAAGGCTGAGTCACTTAGTGCAATGTCATGGGAAAGTGTGCAGCTAATAAAAATAAATCTGATTGGGGCGCCTGGGTGGCTCAGTCGTTAAGCGTCTGCCTTCGGCTCAGGTCATGATCCCAGGGTCCTGGGATCGAGCCCCGCATCGGGCTCCCTGCTCTGCGGGAAGCCTGCTTCTCCCTCTCCCGCTCCCCCTGCTTGTGTTCCCTCTCTCGCTGTGTCTCTGTCAGATAAATAAATAAAATCTTTAAAAAAATAAAAAAATAAATAAATCTGATTGAAGAAGCTGACCTATTAAGGAACGGTAACATTAAGACAATGATGAACCTGACTCTTCAATATATTTTAAAATAATACACAACTCTCATAATTCCTAACAGAGACTCTGTTAACCACTTTGCAATGATTCCATGAAAAAAAAAGTTTCTCTAGCTCAGGATTTCTCAAGTTCAGTACTAATGATATTTAAGGCTTATAATCCTTAGTTGTGCTGTCTTGTACATTGGTGAATGGTCAGCAGCATCTCTGGTCTCTACCCACTAGGTGCTAGTAGCATTCCCTATCCCAGTGGTGCTAACCAAAATGTCTGCAGGTGCTGCCAACTGTCTTCTGGGGGTGCAGAATTGCCCTGGAGAACCATTTCTCTCATTTGAATTTTCTTGAAACATTATGAAAGCATTCAAACACTTAAAAAATGTATCAATGTTTCCATATTCACTGCCTAATTTCTGAACAGAAGGAATAAAGACAATTCAGACATATTAAGAAGTTGTGCATTGAACTTCTACAGTTTAATTTATTGGAAAACCATTGAACTTGAATTCTTTTTGTTCTTTGAAGTATCTTTTGATGGACCCATCTCCTTTTATGAAGGAAGTTGTGCTGCTCTCAAGAGAAGTACAGACCCTTCCCTTGAATTGCCACAATTTCCTTAATGTGCTCGCTGGCTTCAGCTCTGCAATGTCCTTCCCATCCTTCTGTTTTTCTAGTCATAAATATTTATTTCAATGGCACACATTATCATTTTGTTGTTTCAAGGGTCAGTGATGTTTAGGGGTGTGGCGATAGTCATATCAGGTTGAGTGGGGCAGGCCGGAACTTGCTAAGATTTGTGCAGAGATGGAATGCTGGAGAACTTAAGCAACTTCATCTCTAGGTAAGATGTTAATACCCCTGGAAGGCTGAAATTTGTCCACTAGAACATCTGCTGCCTTTGATGTGAATTTCTGAGGTGACTTTCAAGACCCTGGTTGAGTTTCTGCTCTGCTCTCAATGAGATTGTACAGAGTGGGGATGGATAATTCTGTAGGATAACACCTAAAAAAGCTTCTACCCCATTCCAAAAATGACTTCCTCCTCTTCTCTGGCCTTTTCTAATTTTTCTTCTCTTCATTGATAACCAGGAACTGGATATGAATTCTGAGACACCCCCTTTGTGACTCTGCTGCATTTCTTCTTGGGTACACAGGTTTTTCTATATCCAAGCCAAATGTCATCTCCTTCCTGGAACAAGGGAAGGAACCCTGGTTGGCAGAAAGAGATGTGACAGGAAGCCTGTGCCAGGTGAGTGAAGGATGATTAAAGAGGGCAGTGGCACTGTAGGTAATGGCCCAGGTCAGCAGGATGGAGCACCTTTGAGACAATGACTAGAAAGGTCCCGTCAGAGTCCCTAGTGTTCAGAACAGAGCATTACTCCTATCAGTGTGAGCTCTGGAAGGGACTCTCTTGTACTCACACACACCGCTCCCTGTGCCTGTCTCCATTCAAAGAGGAAGGTACTTTCTTTGAAGTACAACTTTACCTTTCCAGGGAACATTATTTCTTCCCAGTTTCTCCCCCATTCTTTTTTTAATAGTTGGATCATTATTTCCATCCAAAAGTATGTTTCCAAAAAGTTTATTTTGGTTACAGCCCAATGATTTTTTCCTTTGACATGTTTTTCCAGATTCAGATTTTTACCTTCTTTCTTTCACCCTTTCC